ATGGCCAACGATTACCTAACTGGCTGCACATGTCCGCGCTCTGATTGGACCCCGCATGTAAGGAAAGATACACTATCGATTTTAAATTTAAACCTCCCTTGTAACTATTTGGCCTGATGAGAAGTTACTGAAAGCGTTCGCTTGCCAAAATTGTGTTCTGAACTATCCTACAAGTGATACCCGCAGCGGCCGGAGAGTTGGCCAACTTTACGGCCGGAGAGCGCCAAGACATATCTGGTAGGACAGTCTTTTAGATGGAGCCTTGCTCAGCGAACTGAAAGTGTCCTTACTAGGCGATTTGATGTCAAATACTTTAACCTCCTTGGCTTAATCGAACCGGTAGGCTCATTCTACTTTGAAAAGACGGGTTAGCAGGTACTTTAAGTGGATATAAACACAAAATCGGACCTAGTCTTTCGAAAGATCCCGTTAAGAAGGCCTGCCACGGGGAACCAATGGCAATAACCGAGAACGTGAAAGGCTCCCAGCTGCACAGGCAATTAACAGTTCACGGAGGGTATGAAAATTGCAAACTTTCGGGTGAGTTTTGCGCCGTTATCGACCTGTTCAGCTCCAGCTAACTGCGCTAGAGAAAAAAATATTAACGACGAGGTAATAAATATGTTAAATTGAGAAATCTGCTAAGAAATCTGTTAAATTTCCACCCGCTGCTGCTGCCTTTCTGACAATCAAAAACGCAAAATTCATCTGTGAGCCGAAGTTCTATGGTGTTATCTCCTCGCTGTAACAGATTATGTTAGTATAAGGTACACTTTCCAGTGTGCTTTACTCGCCTAACTCCCTAGGGATGTTGTGATTGCCCAACTGTTTTGGCGTATTTCGATGCCATAAATGTTTCGTTTTGGTCGTTTGGGGTCGCACGAGGCTTGTTCAACTGTGAACTGAACTGTTTTCAAGACGGGCTGATTTGTAAGTCAGCTCACCTCTCTAGTCAGTTGACATTTAATTTGGAACTTCTTTTAATCTATTTGTAGCACAGGTATAGAACTCTGAGCATTGTTTCAAGACCAAACAATTTAAGGAATCCCTTGGAAACTGTGTATTTCAGGCAGGGCATTAGAGCAAACTTAAAATCCGCCTTTTCATGGACAAATAATAGATCCCAAAATAATCTGACTTAACTCTCTTTGTCCCCTGATAACGGATTTGAGCGTCAATCCCAGAAGGTGAGATTAAGACCCCTGTTGTTAGAATGATTGCTTTTCTCCTTGCTTTCATTGCATGATACTGTTGTTGCTTCCATTTATTACCCTCTTCACCGCTCCCTCCCCCCAATTAGTTTAAACTTTTAAGACTCATTCAAATGGGTGTGGATCAAAAATGGTAGGAAATGAGAAGAAGGATAGGAATAGGAATTCAGCGCATGATCATATGTATTAAGTGGGAAACGATCCTAGACTAGTGTCCCCTCGGGGATGTGAGCATATAATCAGTTCCGATCTGAAAAAGTTAACTTGCCGCAAATTGGGTGGTACCGAATAAATGCAAATAAGCCAGGGAAAAAAGCGATCCTTTGAAAACTATTATGCCCTCCTTTGAAACAAATGTATGCACCAAATCATTCGCATCTCCATAAGATCTTTGGGGTGACGCTACTCCAGACAACCTTGTTATTCATTTTCGAGCCAAGGTTACGTGCGATGTTCACGAATAATAAAACGTGTTGCCTAGGAAACTGCATCATTATTTCGGAAAGATAAAGACGTTTGCACAAGGTACCACCTACTGTAAACATTCAAAGTTTAAACGGAAAAATCCTTCCACTTGTAGTACCGTCTTCCTAGTCCCACAACATTTACAGTGAAACGTCAGTTAAGGAGTTTAATCCGCTCCAGCACCGAGTTCGCCATGTGAAACGCTCGTCTTGCGAAAAGCAGCCAATCAAACTGCAATCAGTTCGCTGATTGGCTGCGGGTGACCGAGGACCCCGCCCCGGAAGCAAGACTCAACGGCGGAAAGAGGCACACACACAGTGGCAGCTCGTTACCTGAAGTATTCGTGGCGTCCTTTTTTGCTGTAAGAAATTATCAAGGTTTAAATAAAATTTGATTAATTTTCCCGGAAGGAAGCCAACAATGGAGGAAAGTAAAAGCGGTCGAGTGAGGGCTCTCGACACAGTGCCTTCTCAGAGGTTTTCCTGGAGGAGTCTTACGGGAAGCACTGCATAAACGATACTACGAAAGGCTCGATAATTAACCTACCA